GAATACATAATTGATTAATAAAAGCGCTTTCTGCAAAAAAATTCAATTTTAGTTTGCACTTGAAATCGGGCACGAACTTATGCACTCATCTAATATAATACAAAAAATTAAATAAACTAATATAAAATAAAATAAAATAAAAATTAAAATATAAATAAAATTAATTTAAATTAAATCAGATAAAACTAATTAAATTAATTTAAAAAAAAATAAATAAAGTTATATAAAATAATTAAAATAAATTAAAATTGAGTTAAACTAAACAATAAGAAATAAATAAAATATAATAAATTTAAGTAGAACAAAAAAATGAAAAATGCATTAACAACCAAAATAAAATTAACGCAATAAATAAAATAAAAAAAAGAAATAAAATTAAAAAAATAAAATAAATAGAATAAAAAAAAATAAAAAGTAAAATAAAATAAAAATAAAGGAAATAAAATTAAAAAAAAAAAAATAAAAAAAAAAATAAAAAGTAAAATGTAAAAAATTAAGCCTTAAATTGAAAATTTGATTTTTTTTTTAAATTTTCAGTAAATTATTAGCTTCAAGGAGTTAAAAATTTCACGGAGTACATTTTATTTAATTTTTAACTGCTTGTAATTAGTAATGTTTAAAAAAAAAATATGATAACAAATACAATTGGAATTTTTTACCTCCTACCCATTAAAAATTCAGTTTTAGCAAATTTTTTTTTTTGAATTTTGAGCAGCCATCAGAGGAGGACTGTTCAGCTAAACCAAAGCTAATTCTGCATAAATTCACTTCTTAGGTTCTTTCTTCTTTATCACATTTTCCTTTAATTTAGTTGAGATTTTAGCGACCTTTTCCAGCGCTTCGATGCTCGCGTCCAGTGAACCTTCCATTTCCTTCATTTTCTTACGTAATGCACGCAATTTCTCTCTTTGCTAAAGGAAATGTGCATAAAAATAGTTAAAATTTCAAAACGCCCCATTAAAATTGAAAATTTGGCTTTTCGTATCTGCTTTATTTACCTCTTTCAGATAGTAAATATTTTCTTCCGCCTTTCCTTTATCAGAAAAATCTATCATTCTGAAATTTAGAATTTGGAAAAACGAATCTTATTATATTTAAAGCACGGCCTTACCGTATAGTTGTCAACATAACCACCTTGCCTTTGTCCTTCAAGAGCCGTCGGCAGTGGGTCGGAAACATAATTTACAAAAGAAATTTTGAAAAAAAAAAATTTCTTCAAAATGTTGCCGAATTGAGAAGAAACAAATTTTTTTTTTTTTAATTTTTATTTCCATTCGATTTTTACAGTCAAAAACTTTTTTTCCTTTAAAAGGCAAATCTAAAAAAAAAAATATAAATCAAAACAAAAAGTTCAAGTGTTTCCAACAAATTCGAAAATATATAAGAATGTAGGCATTTTCTTGGAGTGAAAAATTATTTGGAACAGGACGTGAGTCCGTTTTGAAGCAGTACATATGCAGATGATTCAAAAACGGGGACGAGTAGAATTGACATGGCGGCCTCGAATTTCTTTGAGGCGTGTCCGCTTAAGGCAGGCGCCAATCAAATCCTAGCTTATTTCACTAGCTATGCGTGTATCCTGAACCCAAACTTAGCGAGAAGCGAGCATTCCCACGGCACTAATGCGTAGCGCCATAAATGCCGCGCGTAAGCTATAAAACTTTGGCAAAGTCAGATACGGCTGATTAACTACAAATACAAATAATTAAATGAGATTTATTTCCTGAGCACATACTTGCATACTTACCTAGAAGCAATTAAATTTGCCATTAAACGAAGAATGTGAAGTACCAAAATTAAAAAAAAATTAAAAATATTAAAAATAATATTTCATTGAATGAGCTTCTAATTTACTAAGAGCTGGTGATTTCCAAGACCGAATTCTCCTCTTATCACCACGTATGCTACGCTTCTGCAAATAAATTGAAAATATTATGTATTTACATACATACATGCTTGTTTGCTGTGCGGTGATTCCCGACACAAACACACTACATATTGTTGCTGTGAATGGTTTATAGATGTCCGGCTTAATATAAAAGCCACTGCGATTCGCACTCAGTCAAAACAAATAAGTTCAGTTTCAAAGAAGATACACGCGTAAATACAATAACAACTGCTATACAAAATGAAAGTTTCTGTGCTCTTCGGTTTCCTGCTCATAATCGCAGCCATCTTTAACGGTGCTACAGCATCACGAGACGCACGCCCAGTACGTCCAAGCATTAGTGCACCACCACCAAAGCGGGAACGACCAATTATTTATGATGCACCCATAAGGACTGGCAAGCCAAAAACAATGTACGCTTAGGACAACAAAAAATGTATACACTTTTCTTATAATAAATAAAAAAACTAAAATTAAAAATAAAAGTTTGTAGTTGTTTTTTTTTTTTTTTAATTTAAGTGATCATCATTTTATTATATTTTCTGCGGAGAATTAATAATTCGTTAATATACCTTTACCGGACAACGATCTCTTTCTGCTTGTGAGCGTTTAAAACTTAATAAAAATAAAAAATAGTAAAAGTGAAAAATTTTTAACGGTTTTATATATCTTAAATTAGAAATGTCAAAGCATTTCTTGAAGCATCTTCAGTGATTGCTTTATCCTGTCGTCGACGGCGTAATCACTTAATAATGTGTTAGCTTTCAAGAGCTGGCTGGATTTACTTCTTAATGTTTTCGAGGAAGGCCTTATGGCGCTGGATGGCTTCTTCATGCTCTTTGATTTGTTGAGCGTGGAACTCAGCCTGATGGATCTGATCGTTCTTCAAGCGGTCGAGTTGTTCCTTTTGCTGAAATAAAAAACGGGTTAGGTGAGCGTAAAAAGAAATTTAAATGTTATTAGTGTTGGCTACGTGATCTATGCTAAATATATATGAGCATATGCGCAGCCAGCAAGACAACCAAAATTTGTTACGTGAACATCAGCTGTGTGTTTGGGAAACACAAACAGTCGAGCCTCTCTGCTCACATATATACATATGTCAATATATCCACAATCACATAAATCAAAAGCACACTCAAACTACCTTTTTGTAGAAGTATTCCTCTTCACGCGCCGCTTCCATTTTACCGAAAGCACCACCAGCTTCGCGAATCGAACCACCGCCGCCGCCACCCTTACCAGCACCGCTGCCTAAATCACCAAGTTGGCTATCGCTCATCTTGGCTAATCTGCAATGGAAAGAAAAATATTTTAAAAATAGGTTAGCATATATAGCATATGTATGTATGTATGTTTGTTTGTACTTAGTAAACAGGTGAGCAATAACAATAACAATTTATACACTTTCGAATTGATAAAAGCGCAACAAAAATCGCTTAATGTACACATTACATAACGCAAACGAAATTTTGAGAATTTCGCCGAAATCATATGCGTTTCTACGACGAGAAGGCATACCGGCGCGATTTTATTAGTTTTCTTATCGCAAATTATTTTTAATTTTATTGCTCTACTCATATAAAAAAATATACAGGCATATAAGAAATATATAGGCATATGCCGGCCCAAATGAATGTTTTTATTTTTTTTATTTGGAAGCCAAGATTACTCACTGCATTCCACTGGGGTAGAGGCGCGCTGCGCTACGACGTACTACGAACATTTTGTTTTTGTTTTATCTGGAAGAATAAAATAAATATAAATATTACCTAAAGAAAACAACTGACGAAATTAGACCTTTTTTACATTTAACGTAAGTAATTACATTAAAATAATTTAATGTTTTTTGTTCGTTCTTTTCGTTTTATTAAATATATTTTATTAAGAAAACTTACCACTTGTCACTTTTGCTGTTGAAAAATGAATGTCAAATTTTTGTCCACCGGAGTTATTGGAAATTGGGGCTGGAATGCTGGATATTCCATGTAGATTGTTTTACTGCTTTGGCGTTAGAGGCCGCGATGCTTTATGCAGGGCTGCATAACATTCCTTTCGTTTTTGTTCCTTATTTCTTCCCTTTTTATTTTTATTTATTAATTTTTTTCTGCAAGTTATATTGAAGAACCTGTGTGAAGGATTTTAAATTAAAATAACTTATTCTATATCTATTAATGCTATACCAAAGAACATATAATAAGTATAATAATATACGTTCTTTGACTTGTACGGAAATATTTAAAAAAGTCTTGGCAACACAGCTGTGGGAATACATCTCTGTAGAAGAAGAAGAATATTGTAAATTGTCAAGATTTCGCAGAAAGCCAAATTTGGCTGATGCTGGTGAAAAATAATAATTTTTTCGTTTTTATAATAATTTATTCATTTTAGTTTGTTACAAGCATCAGCACAACGTTGTTGACAAAAGCGTTTGAAAAGTATTCAAGTGTAAAATGGTGGAAACTGACGATGCTGCTGAGCTACTTTTCTTCGACACTTTTTCACATGAAGTGGACACGGTAAGTAAGCGGTATTTATATTGTATTTTCTTTTGTTTGTCATTAAACTATTTTCCATTCATTTAAATTCTAACTGTTTAATTTTTTACTTTAACAGGACATCAATCTCGATCTTGTGCAATTCCCAAAGCCAGTATTTATTACCCAAGTGCGTATAATTCCATTAGGTGCACGTGTACAAGCTGATTTTCCCGGTGGTGTGCGCCTGGGAGCCACCAATCCCTCGAAATTTGATATTGAATTTTTTGTCAATGATTTGGGCATGCCGGGTGCCTCTACATTCGAGAATTTAGGACAACTGAAATATAATCAAAACGATTGCATACATCTAGAATGTACACAAGAGAAAATACCCACCGATGGTTTAGTATTACGTGGCTGGTATAGTACAATTACTCTGGCAGTGTATGGTATATTAACAAATTCGATGAGTGAACCAATTGCTAGTCCACCACCGCCTCCTTGCGAACCAACGGGTCCTGAGGAGATTTGTAATTTGAGTGGTAGCGGTGAGACGCGTGAACCAAGCATACCAGAGGAGACAAATAAAGATGAATGGAAAGAACCTTTACCGAGTGAGGTGCCTACAGCGCACAAAACCAATATTGGTGACTTTGAACGTGATGACATGGAATATGTTGGGGGTGTAGGACGCAGCGGCGCTGGCGTAGGTGGCGATCATTACCAACATTCAGGTGATGAACGTGAGCGAGGTTTGCGCAAGACGTCTCATTCTTCGGAACGCTCTCTACCTACACGTAATCGTACGCATTCGGAAAGCAATGAAAGAGAATATGTGCGGTGAGTTAAGTTTTTCTAATGCTTTAATTTATGTTTTAATGTTTTTTAATGTTTTGAATTAAATTTGTCTACTTTTAGTGGACGCAACGAACGAGAGCGTGAAAAAGTATCGCGTGATTGGTCACGTAGCCCTGACTACTCACGTCATTCCCGTCGCAAACGTTCTGAACGCTCACGTTCTGACGCCGAGGAGTCCCATAAATGGCCTCCACGTACGCCGCCCGCCTCGATTGATTCACCAACACGACCGCGCTCACCCGATAACTACTCAGAAGATGATGTGCATTATAAACTCAAAACACGCAGTTATATGCGCTCCGAAGAGTCTTTAACCAATGGCGCTGGCGACACGCAAACTTTGGATGATGATGAAACACCCGGTACGCCTGGCGAACAATACGAGCCCATTCTCAGCGATGATGAAATTATCGGTGATGACGATTCCAATACCGCTATCGAACCGGTTATGGGTGATGAATTAGAAACAGAATTGGCTGCGGCTGCAAATGCTGTCGGACCAGCCATACTCGATTTTGATCCATTCACTATGCCTATTAGCCGTTATGAATGTGAAATGCAAACATTGTGCCGCAAGGAATTGGATACACTAGCGGCTATAATGCAGAAATTCGATATTCAAACAAAATGCGCCAGTTTGGAGGCTTTCAATGATGCGTCTACGACAATAGAGGAGCGCGAGAATTTCGTATATCTATGCGAGCAGCTAATCAATCAATTATCTTATATAACGCAGAATTTTAAGCGTCGTAATTATGTGCTGAAACAATTTTTCAACACAAATCCAAACTTTCTAACAAAGTCTTATAACATTTTGAGAATTGCATTGGAATTTGAGGCGGCCTGTTCGCAACTTCAACCGGCTTTCAAGATAAGACATTTGAAAATTGGTGCACGCCTCACCGAACTATTGTCTTCAGCACCGCAGTTCTTGGATCACCTGTTGAATGTGCAAAATTTCGATCCCTTCGATGTGCTTTTTAAACTGTACCAAGAGAACTACATGGCTGTATCCATCAAGCTCATGTTACTCAAAGCCATATATGCACTACTAGACACTAAAGAAGGCATACGTTATTTCCTAATTGGCGGCAAAGTGAATGGCTATCAATTGCTCCTAAACACCTTACAACAATCTCACCTCACACGTACCAAATTCGCTCTGCAGGCGATTGTCAAGAAGCTGCACTTGAACGAGGCGCTCGAATCTGTGCGTGAGACTTGCAATAAACTTTTTGTACTCACGAATTTGCCTACATCTGCGTTAGCCGAGCAATATGTCGCCATTGAACAGGCGATTGAGCAAATTATGGACGCTTTGGTGGTGAATTCATTGTCTTACCAACAACCGAAACGCTTTTTGCCCGTCGCCAAAAAATTCGAAATCGCCAATGACCCAGCAGCGCAGCGTAGTTTCGCCAACGCCTTGCAGTCTTACTTCGTGGAACACGCGCTGGGCGAATCGCTGCTGCTTATGTTGGTTAACGCTGGTGAATTACCGTCGTCTTTGCTCTTACGCGTATTGGACTTGCTGCAAGCGCTACTCCAGACGCATGTTGGTGTGGATTATTTTGTGGATGATTGTTTTGAGACCACGCAACTGCTAATCGCTGTGTTACTGGGCATTGATGAAGTGCCTGAGCTTGTGACAACCACAGAGGAAGAGACTACTGAATGTAAGTAATATAAGTTTTTATGATCAGTATTATTAATTAATGAAAATATTTTTTTTTTTGCAGCAAAAGTGAAGGAAGAGCTGTTAATCCCCAAAACGGAGGCTGTAAGTGATGATAGCGCCGTTAAGAAGGAAACGACTGCCTCTACTGCAGAGCAAACCGACACACTGCCCAAAGATAATGGAACGAAAGAGTCCGAAAAACAGTCTGAGAGCGCTGTACCGTCTAAGGAGTCCACGCCAGCAAGTGTTGAGCCCAACGTGCAGCCACTGCGGCGACCAGTACTACATCGCCTGCAACAACTCGCCGTGGAATTGGCCAACAAAGTGCAGACTCGCTATCACTTGGATGCTATTATGTATTTAACACGCGCTGACAATTATGATGTCATAAAATTAGCGACTCACTTGCATGCGCTCTACTCACAGACCTGCCAGTCACCCGGTCGTCAACACACCGTCGACGTGATTAGCATGAACAACAATATGCAGCTATTTATGGACCTTATACAAAAAGAGCAACGTTTGCAAGCGCAACGCCAAATCGCCTCACCGGGCGCCAAGTATAAGAGTCCTGTGCTGAGTTATGCCGTCGACATGGTCGACTGCTGCGTTCGATATTGTGAACAGATGGATTACCTCATCGAACACGGGCCCATGATACTGGAATTGGCGAAAAATCATGAGACATTCGAGCCTTCGGTTTCCGCAGTGCTGCAGGAGATGTTTGTTTACATGAAGCCTCTGGAAGCTATAAATATATTCTCTTACGATAATATTACACCTTTGGTCGAGGTGATCTCGCGTTCAATGGAGTATATAACCACTTTCCCTGGCGATTTAATTATGGGTTTACGCATACTTCGCCACTTGGCTATTGGACCCTCCAATAAGGCGTTCCGCAGCTCCAGCACGGAGGAGTTGAAACATCGTTTCGTCACACTACAATTCTATGCGGCCGATGGCGTACAAACGCTTATACAAATACTTGAGAAATTATGCTCTTACTTCGAACAACCCGGCTTGCATACGCCCGCACTGATGACCATACAGGGTCTACATTGCTGTCAAATACTCTTGCCTGCATTACAGGTGCTCCGCGCCATGCTCTCCTATGCTATACAGTGTCGCGATACGGAGTTCAAGGATCTAACCGCCATCGATCATCTGATGAAGGCCTATTTTCTTTTGCATTATTTCCCCACCCACAGTCAAGCGGCGAATGAGATCGCACAGGCGAAGCAGGAAATTGTGCAATTATTGTTGGCGTACACACAGCCCAATGAGCAGGACGAAGAGTCGTTACACAAGTCGTTGTGGACGTTAATGATACGCGAAATATTGAAGAATATCGATGGACCAGCCACATTCATGCCAGGTACTTTCATATTTTGTCCAATAATTTCAAGAAAACACTTAATTTTTTTTAACCCTCTCCCACTTTTAGGTCTCCATGTGCTCGCCGAGCTGCTACCCCTGCCGCTGCCAATACCTTTACCAGTCGACGCGCAGCTGCCCGAAACTCAGTCTCAGCGTTTGATCACCGAACGTAAGCTTTGGTCCGCTCATTTGCATCCGCAAAGCGCACAAATCGCCAAACTTATTGAAACCATCGCGCCCTCTACATTCCCGCCGTTGGTTGACCTTATGACCAAGGTCTGCTTGCAACTCGCCGACTTGGCGCCCAACATGACGCTGCTCATCTCGAAGACGCTCAGCGATTTGGTCTGCGCGGAATGGCAGTCTGCCTCCGCCACGCCAACGCCACATTTGGCGCGCCTGCTGTATTTCTTTGCGCGTCTGACTTCATTTGCCGCGTTAAAGATTTCTTCAATCTCTATACTCAGCGGCAAGCTATGGGAGCTATTTCAGTCGGTGCTCTGTTACACGGGACAAGCATCAGGCGTGGTACAGCACTGTCAGTTGGCCATACAACAAATTTTGAAGAGCTTTATAGATGCGGGCATATCCTTCGTCTCACCGAAATCCACAGCGACGCCGGAGCTAAATTTGGCCGCCGCGCTGCCGCCGAAAGAATTGATACCACGCATTATAGAAGCGATTTTGACCAATCTATTCAGCAGTGATCCTCACCAGGACGTTTGCGAAGTAGCGTTGAACAATTTAAACCTACTAACGGAGCTTGAGTAAGTATTACCGTGTCTATGTACACCGTTTTTATGTTACAACATTTTCTAACATTCATGCCGTTCCCCAGCATTTCCATGCATCATCTGACGCAGCAGTTGAAGCAAAGGCGCGCCGAATTCCAACAGTGGCTCGAAAAGTTCCTCAAGTACGCTGAAGCCGAGCATGCGCGCCTAGCGCCTATAGAGCTGTTCATCGGCTTTCTGCACTCTCTTTCGCATATTGCCGAGTACTTGCAACAACAACAAACTATACCCATACGTAGCATGAAGTGGTCTATTGGCGAAGTCGCGCACTTACTTGGTTTCCAAAAGAACGCAGATCCACATCTCATTCAGCGTCTGAGCGCCGCGTATACAAATGTCAAAAATAAAGCGCTGACACAAATAAAGGAGGAAGACGATAGCAATTCACCAATCAAATTATTAGCTGAAATCGCCACCGAGTTCGAGGCGCTAGAGGGCAGCGCATCGCCTAAAACCGATGAAGACGGCGCGGGCGCACAAACTAGCGAACCCACACTGCCCCAAAGTGAGGGCATTGTCATGCAGTTCGCAGCGCGTCCAATTTTCGTGGAGTTCGATGCAGTCGCCGATGAACAACTATTGCTAACACGTTATTGGCTCCAAGTATCATGCGTCGATTTGGATCACAGCAAATATGAGCGTGTTCCTTGCGATTTAACCGAGCTGGCTGCCGAGTGTTTGCCGCCCGAAACGAATCTCACTTCGGATTGTAAGCGTATGCTGCACTTGTCCGCTTCACCACAGTCGAATCGCGAGCGCACACCCACAGCGCCTTGCTTCCGAACGCGACGCGTTGAAGTCGAACCCAGTACAGGACGACCTGAGAAGAAAATCTATATAACACCCGTGCGCGGACGTGGCTTTGCGCGTGCACCACCTTCGCGTGGTGATCTCTTCCGTTCGCGACCGCCAAACACATCGCGTCCGCCATCCTTGCATGTCGACGACTTCCTAGCGCTGGAGACTTGTGGCGCACAACCTACTGGCCCGACGGGCTATAACAAAATACCGCCAATCATGCGCGGTTCACGCGTAGGACGTAATCGCGGCACACGCATTTCGACGGCAGCCGCTTTTCGGTGCGTAATGATTTGTTATGAAATGAAACGATTGTAAGTTATATTCACTTGTCTTTTTTCCTTGCAGCAAAAACAAAGTTATGCGCACTGCGTCGCCATCGACCTGGGCTGATGCCGGTTCACCGCATTATCGCAACGCTCCCATCGACCCGCACTTTGGCGAATCCCACTACTCGGGCAATCCCCATTTCAGCGGGCGCTCACGCGGCCGTGGTGGGCGTCCACGCCCCTATCTACGTTAGTAAATTTTCACAGGCTTTGGCAACTAGATTTTAACTTGATTTTAATTTTTTTTACAAAAAATACAAAAAATACATTTTTACATACTATACATACATACATGACTAAGTTTTGAAATTTAAGCTTTCTAAAGGAATTCCTCTAAAGAAGGTTAACAGCTCGGTATGTATTGAAATTTCATGGCGTCACTACCGTCGTTAGACGCACGTCATGCGGCTCCAGTGGCAGTGTACCTTCCTCTACGATTTGCTCACGGAACGCCAACGCCATCAAAATGGGTTTCTTCTCAGGGTAAGTATCGAAATGACGCTTCAAGAAACCATCATAATAACCCATACCATGACCCATGCGACCGCCACTGAGTGTGAAAGCCACGCCAGGCATTAGAAATAAATCGATGCCGCGACCTGCGCGGAGATAAAATTTCGCTTTAATTTTTGGATAATTTTGCTTCGCTATTCTCACCATTTGTTAATGCACTTTCACGTCCCTCTTTGGCGCTTGGCTGTTTAATATGCCATTTGGTCAGCGGCAATGACTCGTAATCAGCCCAATCCTTAACGCGAACCATTTCCATCAGCTTGCCACTGTACGTGGGCACAAAAACGTTTTTATTTTGCTTGAAGAGCTCACGCAGCAAGCCTAACGTGTCGACTTCGCTGCCTGTGCTTAGGTAGACACTGACATCTTTTGCTTGACGAAACGCTTCGGTGGCGATTACCTGTAAACCAAATTGGATAAAAAAAATATATATAGTCATACGATCTGTCAGCCTTACCTTCTCATAAATTGCTTTCGATTGCTCCGTTATAGACTCGGCACTAATCGCTGGTAAGATTTCCGTCTTCATGCGTTGCCTTAGAACTTTTTTCAAAGGATTTCCCAGTGTGTTCGCCATGTTTCTGATTTTGTTCTTTAATGTAGGATAAAATATACATACATATGGGTGTGTGTCTGTTTGTATATATTTTCTATGTATATGTTACTATAAATTTTTCGATGAGCTCTTCACTTAACCGTGTCTAAACTTATACTAGCATTGAAATTTAAAATTTTGCATGATTTGCTGATATTTTAAACCTCTTATCAGTTTATTTTGAATTAATGCCGTTATCAGCTGCTCGTTTAGCCACTTTGCCGGCGGGGTTATCATTTCTGAATTGAGCAGTTTGGAGTAGTTTTCTTTCAACTTTATGTATGTACGTGATTACCTCACGTTTGTTTATTTGTACATATTTACATTCTCATTTCATTCCTAGGTTTTGAGCCACTAACTATAGTCATTGTTTACTACATAACACCTCTGGTGGCGATTAAGTACATACATATGTAACCCACTTAATATATTATAATTACAAATATTTGAGCATTTTTTATCTGCACTGAAATCCGTAACTAACACTAACTTGATATTCTCAAAAGATTCTGAGCTGCAACGTATCAGTGAATGACGAGGCCACTTAACTTGCACATTCCCAGTTAATTCACCACTCCAATGAATAAATAAAATATTAGTTATATGCTGCGATTTTCAGTTTCACGTCTTACGAGGTCTCACGGCAGTCCCGTCTTACTACAGAAACGCCACATATTATATCCGGTCAAGAACTTTTACTCACGCAATTATATCCGTAAACCAATTTGTGGTATATTTTTGCGGTTGCAACAACAACAATAGCAATTTCAGTAGATAAAAAACAATTTATACCCGGCAAAAAAAAATTTGAATTTCTTGTGTTACACTTCTTTGACCGATAACTTATTAAGCGGAGAAGGTCAAGCCATAATGGGCTTTCACGGCATACGCATCAATAGCAATTTTGTCAAAACTCTATATGTAAAGTGTAACTCCCACATCTGATTTTCTCCAGTTTACGGCGACCACCGGCCGCAAAAGACGAATGACCGAAATCTTTAGAATTGCTAACAAAGCTTCATTTAGTTAACCCTCTTGCTTTCCAGCTGTTAATTTAAGGTTTCCGTTGTAGTGTTGTTGTAAGAAAAACTTGTTGAATGTGGGCAAATACCGTAAAATGCATTATTTGAACACCCGCTGATGTTAAGTTGTCTTCAGGCAAAACTATTTTAAATTAGTTTATCAATGTGTGTGTATGAAAGTGATGATGCTTTTACAAAATTTTTCTCTTACATACACCTAAATATATTTTTTTTATCAATTTGCAAATATTTTGTGCTAATTTAGAAACACGCGTTATCAACACAACTGTAGAGATCATGGTTTTGTATAACGAAAATCGATTTTAGCTAAAAAGACGATTGTTACAGTCGACGGAAATATTATCTTAGTAAAGGGGAAATATGAAATATGAAAAGAGGAAGTTCCGTTTCGAGCGCAATAAAAATTCATAATTTATTTAAAACATTTTATTTTCAGCAAATTTGATTGTAATATAATGAAGAAAATTAATAAATGTTCCACTAACAATTTAATTAGTTTCAAACGGAGTTTACTAACGGCATGTTTTTTCACTTAAAAAAAGAAACTTTTGACATCTCGTTGCTTATCAGCAATTGGCAAATATCCCAATACACACACGGCTCATTGCTTTCATTTCTATTTATTTACTTTCCACACTTTTATTGTTTCGCCGGTTGTGCGGCAGCTGCATTTGTACTCTTTGTTGTTTCATCACTTTTGCTTTTCAAATTCTTCAATTGCTCCTTTTGCTAAATCAATATGAAAGTGGAAATGCAAAATAGTACTGTTATTCTAATTTCATTGACACTAACCTGCTTGTAGAAGAACTCCTCCTCGCGTGCTGCCTCCATTTTGCCAAAAGAGCCGCCTGCTTCGCGTATGGAGCCGCCACCGCCACCACCCTTGCCAGCACCGCTGCCGAGTTCACCGACTTGTGACATTTTGCGGCAACTAAATTTGCAAAAATATATGTGAATGTATGTGTATATGTATGTATGAAATTGTCACAATTCTCCTCAGGTCGTGTTACATAAGCAGAGAAGTTAACTTACTGCTGTTTCAACGCTTGTACCACAATAATTGAGCGGCGTGCCAGCATTCTTATAAACTTTTATGCGTCCACAGAGTTTTGTCTCGCTTTGTATTTCACAAAACTGTGTTTTTATTAAATATACTAATTTGTTTATAAATAGTTTTATACACTAATCGTGTGCTGTTTTCTTTCGTTCTACGGCGGCGCTCACTCACTTGGACGATTGCAGTGAGTTAATGGTGTATGTATGTATGTAAAGTGATGAATAATTTTATTTTCGTCTAAATAGCGTGTATTGCAACAGCTGTTTTCATTTAAGCTTGCGCCTAAATGTATGCTTTTTGAATTGAGTGTGCTTATTTATGACAAAATGCAGTTTACTTGTTCACCCAGCGAACATAAGAAGTCGAACATCAATTTTTTTTTATGAATTTGATATTGAAAATTAACTGTAAATTTTTAGAAAATTCACCCAACAAACAATAGAAGTAAATCACCGAAATTTTCGATTTTAAAATAAATTTCATGTGGAAATTTCAATATGAAAATATGTTAAATAAAATTAAATTTGCGTTTTGTACAATTCTTCACTAGAATATTTTAACGATTTTGTCATATGATTATTTACATATGAAATTTAGTTTAATTTTGTACTGAAGCTTTTTTTTTTAAATCAATATTGAATCTGCTTCGATAACGGATGCTTAACAATAAGTAATAAAATCTTAAACTGAATTCAAGCAAAAAACCCATTAGTAAGAATGGGCTTTCTCACTTCTTCGCAGGCGGGTTTAACTTGTTGCAGGGGCCAAGTTGTTAGCCAAAGGGTTCAGATGGTTACGCAATTTTTTCAAGTATTTGTGTGCTGCCGTTTCAATCACTTCTTTTATGGTAGGTATATTTAGATCTCTATGGATATTTTCATTACGCATACACCATGGTGCGCCCGTTATTACTCTTAACGTTTACGATTGGAACCTTTGAAGTATATCTATATTCGTCGCGCAAGCTTTGCCCCCGTAATCGATCCATATCGGTTTTATTGTTGCATTATATAAGAGGACTCTGTTGCTAAGGCTAAGTCCCGATTTCTTGTTTAAAAACTTATGTAAACTGACAGATTTGAAGTTAAGCTGCAGCTTTTTTAGAAGCAATGGGTCGTCTCCAGGTAAAGCGCCTGTCGAAGTGGATTCCGAGGTATGTAATTTCGTCAGCTTGAGGGATCGGCACATCGTTGAGCTTAAGAGTAGGGCACGCTTTTGACCATAGTGTAAAAGTGATGTGCTTGCACTTGTTTTCATTAACTTTAATGCGCCATTTCGCAAGCTGTAGTTGATACCGGATGCAATAACGAATTTAACGCACATTTACTTCAATGGATGTAGTTTATTTCTAAAACAATTTTAATGAATATACAATGAAATAAAATGACATAAAAGAAGCCTCAAATGCTTATCGCTGTGTGCCTTTTCCGGTAGTCTATTAACGAATGAACTGATTCAAAAACGAACGACTCAAATACGCGGCCGAATTCGCCTCAGTACTAAACGAACAGCATACTAAGGGGAAACACACATAGCGGCAAGTTTACAATATGGCCAGACTGGTACAAATAGCTTTCATAACTCAAGTATAATGTGGCGTCCTGAGACATCACTTAAATACAAGGTGGCGTTCTGGGACACTAGCCATTCTTCAATTAGTTTAAGGTGCTGCTGTAACCCTTTTGTGGCTGTATTGAAGTTAAACAGCTATTTTTTTTAAATAAAAATTTTATTTTAAAATCGCCTAAATTTCATTTATTTAAATTATAAAAATATATGTACATATGTAACTATGATAATCGTATTCGAATCTAATTAAATGCTAAATAATTAAGGCATATAATATAGAAATGGCTTTGTGGGCGTACATTATTAAGTTTAAAAAATATATTTACTAAATATATCGATCGACTTATATGTTTAATAAGATTTCTCTACGTTTATATGCGAGCATTAAATTAATTATATTTAATACATAATTTGTTTGTACACTACACGTCTCTTCTATTGCATACATCACTATTTATCAGTTTGTTTCAACATTTTGCACTTTTGTCACGGTGTATGTTTGTATGTTTATATGTAAATATGTACAACTTTAAAGCTGGGCTTTTTTAAATTTCCCACAGTTTTCGCCGTTAACAAACGTATGTACATAGTTCACAAGAAAATGAAAAAAATTTAAAAAAGCCAACTTGCGTATACATATATACATGTAAATCGATTTTTACCCGCAAATATAACGTAATTTTGTTGCTTAACTTTTCTTTCCGTTTCAATCGCAAATCGTAAGTTAATTGAAAAAAAATAAATAATAATTTTGAAAATAATTCACTGCTCATAACGTATATTGCGCATAGTCGGCAGTGTTTCCATTGTGTTCGCCAACTGTTCCGCTGCGCGACGTGTGCTTTCCAATTTCTGTTGCTCACGCAATTTTTGTTCCAATTCCGCGTGCATTTTCTTCTCGAGCCGACGCAAGTTCATCGTTTCCTGTGGGAAAGAAACAGAAAAGGATAAAATAATAAATGAAAACTGATAAAATTAGAGCAGATGTGTCAATATGACTTTCTTTATCTTTTTTTTTATAACTTTTCTTCATATACAAACCAACATGAAGTCTTCTAACAGCGCCTACCTCCAATCTTACCTCGTTCAGAAAGTATAACTCTTCCATGCAATTCTTATGTTTATTCATCAAACTCTGATTGTGATGCGTGACCAAATGATCCATCTCATTCAGCTGCTCGATCACATGATTCATCTCGGTGGTGTCATAACCCGCGCCGCGCAGCGTCTGTTCGCGCATTTTCAGCAACAATTTCCAATCGTTTAGTTTGAAGTAATTCTCCTCCTTAAAGCAGCCGGCTAATTTCTCAAGTCCACCGCCGGGTAGATGGGGACTGTATTCATTGCTTGGTTTTCGATTTGAAAAGAGGCTGGAAGTATTTGAAGGAGTAGAGCGTTAACTTGAGTTAAGTTGCTGCATTTTCGCTTACCCCAGACAATTTTGTTGTGCTCCCGAAAGACCGCGTTGAAAAATTCTCGCAAGCATATTTTTGTTTTATAAAAAATATATTTCTTTCTTACTAAATTATTTGAAAGTCGAAAAGTTTGTACCGATTTGGAGTGACAAAAAATACCAAGAATGCTCTTGGGTTGTATGTAATGTGGATTTTTACGTGCTCCTCGGCAGAATTCGCAGCAGTGAAAGCGGGTACAGTGAGCGTTCAAATTAATGATTGTGAAGACTTTCGCCTGAGCTTCATTTGTGTTCCAAATTTTCATTCGGATACTGTTAAGGATAGAGATAGAGACCGCTGCAGCTCTCGGCCTACCAAAATAGGTGTGTAAAATTTCAACTAACTCGAAATCAGTCTTGGTGAGGAGTGTTGTACTTTAGATCGAGTACTTATGCATATGCTCCGCCTGTAAGTCACTCCTTCGTTTGTTTCATTTTAATTAAAAACCAATAGCCGAATTCTTCAACACCCAAGGAATACTCTCGTAAGTTCCCTCACGTAAGCTAATTTTAACAAAATCAGTCCATCTGAGAGTAGAGCTGTTCGGCTGACAATCTTTTCTTAGAATTTTCATCAGTATGCTATGGAGCTTGGCAAGTATACGACTGATCAGCTTTGGAGAATAGCCAGGGTTAGACCACTTACACCGTCTCACAACTTGTTCATTCAAAAATGTTTTCAGAGACAATGACCTGTTGGTAGAAAAACCAAAATCAGAGAAAATCTGAAGTATGATTTTCCACCTCAAATGAAACAGCCCGAACGTGCCCATATGACACTCGACCATTGAGACTATACCAAAGCCACTGCCACTAACCTTTCTCTGGGTTCGATGATGTGTTGTGAGACATTTTTCAATGCCATTAAATTTATCGAAATTACTTTTGAGTCATTTTATCTGGCAGCCTCTATGGCCTCGAACGATATCGCGCGGAACGCTTTGATGGCGCTTAGCCGGATCCTGAACCCTGCTTTTTTGGCGTATGTTATGCTGTGCACTGATGCTGTATCCGTACTTTAGCTTTATTCTCCTCACCGCACTAATTTTTCGTTCTGCTAATTGAAGCTTTTTTGCCGTGAGCCAATTTTTGAAAAGTGTATTCTCAAAGGCTCTCTATTTAGGTGGGTTCTTTTCGTTATATATTGCATATATTGCAATATCGTCCAGTTAATGTTGCGCTTCGGTAGCGGAAGTCGTCACTTCGTCGTAAAGTTCGTTCCACTCAATAATACCAGAACATACTCTACACATCGATGGAGGCTAATGCAAGTGCCAACATGCGCTCAATCCCAAAGGCTGCCATTTCGGGTTAACTTTTCAGAAACCTAGAGAAAAGTTTACCTCTTTAAGATAGAGCTCACGTTCGAAATGATTATTTTGGCGACCGAAATAAAACAACTCGGAGACCGGTCTGTCCCTACTAACGGACATGACAACTTCGGTGGACTTCTATAACTTCCCAACGAGTCCTCTAATATATTTTGAGGCACATTCGATGCCGCTCATTCTACATCGAATTCTTTTCTAGTAAGATTTCCTTTCATTTCATTCACCGAGGTGCGAAAAATTGTTTTGCTTTTCACTCTCATCGTCTTTAATGGAACCTAGCCACCGTGTAAATCTTCCAAAATCTGAAGGCTTGACATTTTACGGTGAGATAATTTTTCTTGCATTTTCATTTTGTATTTATCAAAACGAAATTGATTTGTCAAAAAAATTTTAGTCCATAAATCAACTTTGAAGACTTACAAATTCCAACTTTTACTGCAAATGTTTCTTACCAGAATGGTCAGCGGTTTTATTTGCGCCAAAAACTCAAAGTAACTGGAAAATGTAGCGCAGCGGTTTTTGACTTTTTTCACCATGGAACGGAAGTCAAAATCAGCTGTTGATAATAGAAAAATTTTAAATATATGTATGTATGTATGTATGAATATAATTATTTTTGCGTTTTTTTTTCAGCAGAAATGCAAACAATCAACAACAACAACAACAACATACGCCCAACCAACAGCAAGCCCAACAACCGAAATCACCAAGTTTGCATAAGAAAACGGAAAAATGCAAACGTTCGCTGTCGAAGACCGACTCGAAAAAGTCCATCAGCGAGTTGCTGAAGACGCATAGCAAAGAGACAACAGAGCGGCCAAGTACCAGCAAAAATTACAATAATAACAATGGTGGTAATAACAGCTCCACCAAAGTTACACCCAACACTTCGAAATCGACCATAAAACCGCCAACGAAAGTCAAGTCTGGCAGTTGGAAGCGTTCGGAAAAGCAAATAACCAATTATAATGGCATTTCCGTTGCTGGTAAGAAATCCAAGACGTTGCGTAAGCGTTCACCAACTTGGCTGAAATTTCCCAATACGCCGGTGAAGATTGCCGACAAGGTAACCTACGTTAGTCCGGTTGATTCCACGTCGGTTTGTCGTCCCGGCACACTCTACTCCGATGTGCTGTTCGGTGCAGGTTCATCGTGCCTGGTGAAAATCAAAACACTTACACCACGTCGCACAGCGAATACAGCGCAGAAGAAACTCACGAAAGCATTGCTCAGGTGTAACGGCACGGAAAATGAAACTGCTTCGGCTAGCGAAACTAAAGCGGATCGTGAATTTTTTCCAAGTCTTAATGGCATCACTGCAACAGCAACCGTTGCGGGCGCTGCAAGTACTATGTCACCAGATAGCAGTCCTAGAAATCGCAGCGCGACAGGTTCGCCTATGTCGGCATCTACGACGTCGGACTTAACAATACCTACGAATGCAAGCAAATCAACGTTGAACGACGCCACGTTACCACAAGTCGTTGAACTACCCAAATGCGATGACGACGCTGATGTTGTGATACTCTCCGAAGCGAATGGCATTTGTGGTGCGGCAGGGAATAGTTTCAGTGACATTTCCTATGGTAATTATTTGGAGCATCATTTTAAGCAAATTAATGGTACTGCGGGCGCTTCGCTAGGACCGAAATCAATAGTTTCCAATTTAGATGTGGTCGCGAATGGTGCGTGTGTTGATGGCACCACCGGCGATACTGACAACAGCTTACAACCCGATGTGGTGCTAAGCGGGTTTCCACATCTCACAACGAAACCGTTCACCATTGATATACCACAATGGAATTTTCTAGATGCAGATGTCAGCGCCGATGCATATCCAAAGTTTCTCTGCCAATTTGACGATGAGCATTACTTGAAAGCGGAGAAGATGGCACTGTTGGGTCTGAAATTGGCTTTGGGTAATGGTAATACCAATCCGCAACAAGTTAATTTCAAATTTTAAGTGAACTTCGTAGGGCAGGAGAGACTTGAAACAAATTTTATTTAGTTTTAACATTTTTTATAATAAAAGCACAGCGATTTTTCTTTTGCTACGAAAAGAAGTAAGGAAGATGACTGGTTTTAAATTAAAATAAGATACATAGGAGGCAAATCATAGTCACAGAGGTTCTTTGGCGACTCATAGAGAGGTTTCTTGAGAGATTGCTAAAAATTTTGTCGAATATTTCTGCGGATGAAGACTGCGAGTTTTGTCGGAAATAGAAAATTCAAGTGAATGTAGAACCTTTGGGGGCATAGAATCTGAGCATTTCTGGCAGATTTTTTTGAGAACCGCTTTCAAAAGTTTCATCCCTAAGAAACCACTTTTTTACCATTCCACTTCTGAATTTTACGAAATAATTAACTTATCGAGGATTTTTTAATTGTCTGAATTTTCACATTTTCACAGTGAGCATATGATTTATAATTAAATTATTTTTTATTTTCCAATTAAATTTTTTCATTTAATTTTGAAAACATAGCAATAATTATTTCTTTTGCTATTAACTTGACAACCCTGCTCCGAAGAACTGTGAAACCTGCTGGTATTCCCACTCAAATCATTTCGTGCACAAAATCCCACACACACATAAAAAAATCGTCTCACTCTCTCTTTGATTCCTCCAACGCTCTCACCGTAGCACACACACACATGCAAACATAAAACAACAGGAAATTCCAGTATCCACATATGCAACTGAGAGCGCTGGAAATGCAATTAACGGTGCGAGAGTACTTCGCATGGCAAAGTTAACCAAAGCATAGATACTGATAAAGAGCGAGAATGTATGCGTGCAAAGAAATGGCGAGCGAGCGGCAGCGACAGTGGCAGCCATCGGAAATTCTGGTATAGCGCAGTCAGCAGTAGTTGAACGCGCTGAGTGTTAGCGACATTTAGACGTGGTGCGGTCGTATCGAAAAATTGTGTGCGGAAAAAACGCACACCGAGTTAATACAATAAACAGCTAAAACAAGACAAGAGGAAATAAAATAAAAGTGTAGAAAAGGTAAAAATTACATATCGAGCGAAAATAACGAATTGCAAAGTGCGAGTGAAGTACAATTCACACAAACATACATATTTACACAGCGAGTGCTAATGAAATGAAATAAAATTGAATTTGTATGCAATAAATACCGAATTACGCGAAAAACACGAAAATTGTACTTACTACCTACTACTTACATATACATAAACGAAGTGTGCGTAAAGAGGAGCATCATCAGCTCTGCCTGCGTGCGTGCGTGCGCGCGTGTGCGTAGATTTGTGTGTTGGCGTGTAGGTAGCAGCAGCGAAGAAGCAAACAAGCCGTGTAGGCGCCGTCTTCGTTACCGTCGCTGCCGCGGTCGTCGCCTCTATACACGTTCACTGTGTAAAAATTCAATAATAGTCAATTTTTTGTTTTCGTCTGCGTCTTTTCTACTATTTTCATCCAGTGCCAGTATCTTTTGATTTATTTATTTATCTACATATGCGTGTTGTTATTTTGCTTGGCGAGACCAAAGCGAGCGAGTTGCCAGCTTTATTGGTTGAAAATTATTAAATAAAATAAATCTCGTTTCCGAAAGTGTTCTTTTACCAAGTGAGAGTAAATAACAAAAAATTGAAAATTAACTGTTTTTGTGAAATTTGTTGCTAAAATATAACAGCATAAGGTGGTTATTTATATACACTGGAATGCAAATGCCGGTAATTAGCGTGTTTGTGTACAACAACAAAAAGTGCAACGAATTAGTGGAATTTTACTTGAATGCATAAGCAGTGAGCACATTGTATGCACCTTAACCCGCTCGCACCTATGCAAAGGCATTAATTTTGTGTGCAAGTAAAAGCCAACGAGTGCAACGCTTATAACTAACCTATCTACCTACCTACACGTTCTATGCTCCACAGCATCCAGCACACACAAGTTCACACATCCAACTGAGATTACTATGCCCGCAAAGTGTATCCAAAGCAGCAGCAGTGGCAGCGAGTAATACACTGTAGGCGGTCGATCAGCCGCTCGTTCAATCGGGTGCCAATACTCAGGCAGCTACTGGTTTACAGCTTTTACAGTCTCAGAATGAAAATTGTCTCAAAATGGCTGCATTGTGCTAAAGTGTCATTCGATGTTTCATTTTTGCAATGCAACGTTTAAAAAATTTTTTAATTAATAAATAATTATCTTCAATTGCTTAGTGCGTGCGTCGACTTGTTTTTCGTTATACATACGTGTTTATAGTCCATTGTTTGCTTTGTTTGAACGCATTGTGTGTTTTCAATTCGATTCAGTATTTTTTTTTTGCTTTTTTACTGAGGGATGATATGCGTGCCCGTGTCTATATGTCAGCTCCGCCGGGGCACTGAATACGCGTAACAAAAGTAACTTATACATACATACATATATACTGCGTCTGATGGCAAAATAATTCGTATACGTTGCATTGCTGCATACCGTTGCGTCTGGCCTCTTCAACGTCTGCGCCAAGACGAATGCTTTATCGCTTGCGGTTTTTAAAACAATTTTTTTTTTCTTTTTTTTTTGGTTTTTTTTTGGTTTTTTTTTTGGTTTTTATTATATTTGCGCACATATTACGATGCTATCGATGTAAAAGCTTTGTCTCAGCAAACATAAACGTCATTATTTGATCCATCCTTGACGCCCTTCACTGCTTCCTCCGCCAACTTTATAAGACATTACTTGACAAAACAGCAATTTTTTCAATATTTTTTTCATAATTATTTTTACCTTTTGGCACTGAATCTTTTTGTTTTGCCCATATTTACTTTTACCAGGCGAGTTGTGGTCGTTTGTTGTGTTTGTCTGTCATTGTCATAATCATCAGCATCTTCTTTAATATCCTCAATTCGCTGTGGTTCTTTATTTATTTCAAGTTTTGTACATATGTATGTATGTTTGTATGTACAGGTGTATGCACTTGTCTGCCTATGCGTAAACTTTGCGCCACGATAACTTAAACTCCACTTCGCCTAGCCGGATCAGAGGGACTATGCGCCGATAAATTCATTACTTAAGCGATTTGTTTTTGTATTTTTTTTTACTAAGAAATTTTCAATGTTTTTCTTTTCGGCTCCATGACGGCGGCGAACTTACACTTCTACTGGACGCTTTGATGTTTGCCGACTTTTTTTCGTCCGACTCGCCAGCCCAGCCGCTGATGGGTTAATTTTTGTACATTGTTTTTATTACGTTTAATGAAAAGAGGGCACAGCACGCAACCTTACAAAGTGTTCATATTGGCATTAATATATGTATGTATGTATGTGTGTAGATTTGTATGTAGGCAAACCGGTAGTCATGAGCTTGAGAAGAGTGCGAAATTGCGTATGGTAGTCGGCAGTAATTTGCTATTTAATTCAATAAAAGATAAAATACAAATAATTTATACGTGTACGCGTGAAATTGATAAATTTAAAGGAAATATTACTCAATTTCGTGTGTTAAAAAATAATTAAAAAATATACATGTGCTTCAAAATACTTAAATATACTTAATAAATTTTAAAAAAATTATACTAATTTATTAAATAAATAAATAAATTTTTTTTTTAAATGTGCAAAAAATGTATCACAAATGAAAGTGTTTTTCAATAAAATTTCGACAAAATATTTTAAAAATTGCTAGAAATTCCAATTTATTCCCTTATACTGTTTTTTAAATTTTAGCCGTTGAAATTGAAATTGTGTAAAAAATCTCTGGGATTTTAATCCTCCTTTATCAATACAATTTTTATACGTCGTTAGAAAAAAAAATTGTAAAAAATTTACGGAGTACATAAATAACGCATCGAGCAATAATACAGTAAATTTAACTATCCCCCGTCAATAACAACAATGCGTAATATCAATATAAAACCAACGCTAGCAACAACCACTTGGATAGCAGCAACGTCATCGTCGGATAATAAAGCGATGATGACAGGCAAACGGCGCACGGGCTATGATTGCACCGGCCTTATATCGCCACACGTGACCAATGGCTGTAGTAGAAAGTTTCTGCTTGGGATCGCGCTGTTTGTACTGTTGGCCAGCGTCAATGGTGCTACTGATCAGGTGAGTTAGAAAATTTTTTTCTTCGTTACTATCAAACGATAAGGATCCTACCAAAACCTTTTTTATTCTAAAAATTTCAATCGCGGTGGTTACCTCAGAATCAAGGCTCAGGCTTTGACTTCTAAGTATTAAGTAAAGTAAACTATAAGGCCTGGTTGTTTGTATGAATTGAATATTTGTTATACAACAAAGAAATATAGTAGAACGGGAGCTGTTTCGGAGATCACCACATCTCCTCGTCAGACTTCATATGGCAGGGATCGAACCAACGGATGCTGATTTAACCGGCGTGTGCTCTACCACTGCGCCAACATCAGCCATATAATCTATTGTTGTATCATTAAATTCATTATTAACCAACAACTATTAAGTGCGCTTTTTTGTTGTTGTCACAATCCGCAAAATGTAAACGCTTGTCGGTCGTAATAACCTTGCGTTAAGCATTGTGTATTGCAATTCGGAAGGCTAGGGTTCAGAGTCCCGGTCCGGCCAGCATCCAAAAGTTATAGAAAATGGATTATTTTATTTACGGTCGTATTGTCAAGACCTCCAAATGTATTTCTGACATGAAAATCAAAGCTTCTTTTAAAAATCCTTTAGCTGTACAGAGACGGCTTAGAAAAAATTACTAAAAGACACTCTAATTGTTGGAGGAAAAACAAAAATGCTAGAAATAAATCTCCATTTTATTGTAGAAAAACGAAAAATTTCGGTTATTGAATTTCTAATTCCTTCAATTCTTAAAGGAACTACAATAGTTAGCCGACTCGGTTTTCGAATTTAGGACACAGTGATTCACAAACAGCTGTCACAATTCAATGAAATTTCAATATGCTTGCATTTTGCGTTTCGTATAGTGAAATGCATGCAAATAAATAAAATAAATATTGAAAGTACCGCAATAGAAATGCTTACGTGGAAAATTAATCAAAGAGAGAACCATTAAAAAGTTTGCAGAAAATGGAATGGAATGGAAACCTAAAGAGCCAAGACATTTTACGTAAATGGTTATTAAACGGTTATAAACATCATTTAAACGGTACTTTGCAAACGAGCCGCCTGCATGGACGATTATATGAAAGTTCAAAAAACTGCAATAAAGCAGAAAAGAAATATGCTTACCTACTACAAAAGAAGACTCTAATGGTAGACAAAGCGAAAAGTTACAAAATAATATAAAAAAAAGCCTTGGTCATAGCTGCAAAGCTACGCAGACAAGACAGCACAGTAGTATGCATATGAACGAACGACCGAGCGGCCGGCCGTCCGTATGATGACCATTGCCTCTTGGGCATGTGAAAACACTTCACTTCACCTACTCAAGTGTTTGTTTTTGCGCTGCTGACAAATGGCTCTACACAACAACTGGATTGCTGATATGTCTGTCTGTTTGTCTGTCTATGTGAAGGCTCGTTAAATGTAGTAGATGACCATTTGGCGCAGCCAAAAAGAAATATATGTATTATATATATATACCTTCACTCATACATACATATGTAAGTATGTATAAAAAATCTTTTGGACACAACATCAACAACAATGAGAAATAAAAACCTTGCAAAATCGTCACAATATTCGCACAATAAGGAAATGGAGTCACACACGGTTACCTCGGTTGAGTTGCTCTTATTGTATGTATGTACATAGTTGCTGCAACACCGAGATTCTTTCTACATACAATGTACAGTTCGGCCGTGACAAATGAAATGCTGAACGTACTTTAGGTCTGTTTTTGTAGTTATTTTTTGCTATTTGTTTACTCATACTTGTTTACTCGGTGCTGCCAGTTCACACTAGTTGTCCCTTCGTAGACATTATTGCCTAACAGAAGAGCGGCTATTTATCAGACTTTAGCATTTATCAGTTGTTCAGTTTGTCATTTGCTTTGCTGCTGCTATCGTTTTTGCAGTAGACCATTGGAAGAAATCGCATTCAGTCATATGTATTTAGGTATATACGTGTATGTATATGCATGAACCTAAGTACAATATCTAACACTTAAGCGCATTAACTATGCATTGACGTATTTTCAATAGTATCCTTTACAAGATACAAGATACTATACCTACGTATACATATGTACATATCTCTATGGCCTGACCATTTGCGGTTGTTATCGTTTTTTCATATCAAAAGCTGTCATGCAGTGTTATGCAGAGTGTTCAATATACAGTTTTGCTTGCTTTTCGTTGGCGTTGAAAAGTTCGATTCCTTTCTGTAACTTTTTTCAAAAGGTGTCCAATAGGGCTCTTTTTTTTGGCGATAGAGACGTCCTTCCCAAATTCGCATCCTTCTCTTCATGAAGCAGAAGGCATCATTACTGGACAAGCCGCCTTCCTGCGAGCTTCAGTCCCATCCAATAAGCTCGGTTAAGCACAGCTGTTTGTGTTCTAGGACGTTTTTCATGGTGTTTTCTATATGACCCATATAAATTTTTGTCTCATCAAACCAAAGCATAATTATCCAACTTCACGGGAAAAAATTTCATCTGTCAAAAGCAAGTCGGCTAATTTTGTTTTTCGCACCTAGTAACTTCAAAACTTCTAAGGATACCTTCTATCGCCAGCTATTTCTGATTTCTACGCCATAAAAAAAGGTAATATTTGCTGTTAAGTCCGTTAGCTCGATCCCTGCTAGAAGAATTTTAATAAGTGATGTGATGACCGCCAAAACAGCTATAACTTCTACCAACTTTCTTTGTTATAAACAAAATATTCAATTCCTACAAAAACAAATAGGCCTTTTGCTTACTAGCTCATAACGAAAATTAATAGTATAAACCGTAAAAATATTATTATGGACAGTAAAAACTTATTTTGTTAACAAGGTTAATAAATATTAACTAATCTAATTTACGTAAATTCTTGAGATAACCAGACATGTTGTGTATTTCGTTTTCGAGTGAAAGTGTAATTAAAAGACTGTAATCCTTTTCAAATTAAATTTTTTTTTGAACATGAAATATGTATTTATGATGTTTAAAGAAAAGAATGCAAATACCACAGAATCTGATCTTGAGATGAAGTGATGCGGGTGATAAGGGTGAGGGTTAGCAATTATAAAACAACTGTGAGCTTACCGATATATCAGTTTACTTTCGCAGTTTGCTACTTTCAAATTTTTAATTTTCTCGACTCTCATCAGCTGATTGGTAGTTCATTTCGAAATGTAAAATGTAACTTGAAATTACAAATAAAAAATTAATTTCAATAAAAAATTAAGCTAAATTTTCTAATTGCGGTCGCCGTTCGGCAGGAAATGTCAACCTCTCCGAGTGTATTCCTGACATGAAATAAAGCTCCTCATAAAAAACCATCAGCCGTACGGAGGTGGCTTAGTATAAACTGTGGGTCCCTCCATTTGTTAGAAAAACTTCAAGACGCAATACCACAGATTGGAGGAGGAGGAGCTCGGCGAAAATTGCTTATTATTATTATATGAAGACGATTTCGATATATATATGTATACACATATATTTTTTTTAGACAAATACAATTGGCGCTTTGTAACCGCTGAATTAGATTTTCTTCTCTAATTTGTGGTATGCATTTTGATGTTTTTCTAACAAATGGAACGCGCATTTTATTCTAAGCCGCCTCCGAACGGCTGCGAGTCTTTTATTCGGTGCCTTTATTTCATGACATAAATATACTCGGAGGGGTTGACATTCCCTGCCGAGGGGCGACCCACAGGGCGATAGAACTTTTTTTTGTTAAGAAAAAAAAAATTAATCAAATCAGTTGTAATTTTTAATATGTGAGCTAATTTAATTTTTTTAATTAAATATCCCACTTCTGAATTATTGATAATGCAACTCCTTTCGTGTTTGGCTACACTGTGCACCTTTAAAATACGAAGAACTGAATAAAGATAACCACACATACCGTTAACTTTTGTCATTGCGTTTGGCTTTGCAGGAAATTTTCGCCAACAGCAAACGCTGTACAACTAAATTTTCTTTTGCACTTTTTAATAAGATTTATTTACCACTGCAATAAATTTTAGATTTCTATTAATTCTTAACTCATTCAGTTATTTTTAAACTGTATTCGTTTGCCAATATGCATATTATTTGCAAGCAATAAAATCCACACACATACACTTACACCACTACCAATGCGTCCATATCCCACACGCGGCAAACATAAATGACTTCACTTACTCAATAACAGAGCAACAACAACAACAACAGTGAAGCAGCAGCAGCGCCGCACAGCAATAAATGGCAATCAAAAGCAAAGATAGAAACGTAGGAAACGTTTATGCTGTCACACTCTAACCCAAGCGAAATAAACCGTTTAAAAACAGGCATTGGAAACGGATGTGATTTCCATGTTTTGAAAGAAACCAGTAGCGGGCGTCAATACCAACAAAAGCGTAACAGGAAAGAAGCAATGTTGCATTTGAGTAGTGAAATTCTTATGAATGTTTGGTTTTTCCTTTTTTTTTTTGTATTTTTTCTTCGTTATGGCAAGGGGACTGCACATGATTTGTATACAAATGAGGAGAGAGCAAAAAAGTGGAAAACCACTGAACAGTAAAGGAAAGATGATATGGGAAAGAATTAAAAAGTAAATCCAATTAAGTTTAGAAGTAACCGGACAAGTACAAAGCATGAATTAAGAGCGAAAGATAACTAGAAAGAAGTAGAAATAGCAGAGATACAATGAGAGTGTGTAAAGCAGCATTGGAAGTTAACTCAATGGAAGTTGAAGAGAGCGTAAACAAGTAAATTGAGCAACTGAAGCAATCGCTGGTGGATTTGGATGTGAGCAACTGCAGAGTAGAACCAAAGAAACGTAAAAAAAAACAACAGCGAAGGCGTAAGCGGGGTGTTTATTTGCCTACGCTGATTGCCTGCCTGCGTGGAGTTTTAAGGGCGACGAAGTTATACACAAAAGGGACAAATGAAAATAAAAATGTAGTTAAATACACAGCGAGCACGGTGAAGAACGACGAAGTTGATATATGTATGTATGTATGTATGTATATATGTATGT